CGTGATATTTTCAATTTGCAATTTTTTTTTCGAAAAACTAAAACAACAGCATTATTCTTTAGATTTTTATCTTTTATTATTTTCTAATCCGGTCAAAAAATATTACAAAATAAGTGAGTTCTCGTCTCAGGAAATTAACCCTTTTTCTCAATTTTTAACGGCTTGTTGTTGGCCTCTTAACCGATTTTATTTCAGTTGGCTTAGAGAATTTATCTGATAACTTTTTCCGTTCATGTTTTCGCACATAGACAACTTGATTAGGTTGGAATAGGTCAGGGGTGTCACGTTTTTCGTTCAATTTTTCTATAGGTTTCGTTTGTTATTTTCACTTAATTTTTGGTTGATAGTTGAGTAGAGTAATTTTGATTTTTCTTCGTTTTTGAAGTATAAATAATAAAGGTTATAATGGACTACATATTCTTTAAGAAGATTCATTACTTCGTTTTCGAAATTGTTTTCTGATAGCTGGACAAGTATTGGTCTCTTTTTTTAAAAATAAAATGGTAACTTTGCTAATTTTGGGTTTTGTGGGGGAGTGGTGTAACCCCTCTTGTTAATAAATTAACCAGAGGCCCATAATATGCTCGGTTTGCTCAGCGAATATTTATTAGGGGTGGGTTGGTAGTTTTCAATAAGTACAGTATGGCAAGGGCGCCACTGAATTTAAAAGAAAAAAAATTCATAATAAAATTGCATAAACTATGTGATGTGAAAATTGAGAAACACACCTAGAAAATAATCAGCAAATGGTAATGGGTAATTCTGAAAAAGAAATAAATAAGACACATAAGTTAACCAAATCCTGACCTATAGGTAAACCATTAAAACAATTAAGTAAATTTCAAATTAAAATAGTATCATATCATCAGTTTGAAAGGAAAATATAAAGATTTAAGTTTCCAGAAAACTAATTTAGAAAAAAAAAATAAATGATTGAAAAATTCTATTGACAAATATGGTCCGCTTCTGCAAAAAAAAAAAAAAAAAAATCGATAAAATCAATTTGTACCTGAAAGAAATCGAAAGTTGGGCTATATCGCAGTTAAATGGTCTGAGGATTTAGGAGAAATCGTCCAATATATAAGTTATAGGACCCAGGGTTGAAAATTGATCAATTTTTGATGTTATAGGTACTTACACAATAATTTCAAATTTAGAACATAGTGTCCAACCTTGACCTCAGTTCAGATTAATGATTATGATTAATAAAAGATAAGAGATAGGTACCTAAACTTGTTTCACCAGGGTTTGTACTTGCCACTAGTATTTGTCTTCCTTGTTTAACAAATAAAAATTGACTGAAACAAGTCAATGACGTCAAAAACGTTCGTCGGTTCTTAAACCAGACGTCATTCATTTTAATTTTTCAAAAAAATTGATGTGAAATGTATCATATGAATTAATCAATGACAACCCTTTTTTGTCAAGTTTCAAGGTCAAGTATGAACCCTGGTGAAACGAACTTTACATTATTCAAATATTACGGTATTAAAAGTTAGACAAAAAAATCTGTAGTGAATACGGCAAAACAAAAATTAAAAAATAGAGCTCACTCACTGTCAAGAATAATGCATGGAATTGAAACTTTAGAATTTAAAGGTCGGTAAAAATTCATTCAAATATGGTAATTGATAATAAAATAGATTTCATAGAAAAAGGTAGTAAAAGTTATAATTGAAACTGTATACAAGCTTCAATTCCAACAGGAAGGTAGATTACGGTAGTCGGTAGCAATCTAGTCTTTGGTCACTGGATGAGGGAAGTTGCACTGGAAGTCGTAGATTCTAGCCTGGAAGATAGAGGCTAGAAGTTCAGTTTTCTTCGTCAAAGGTAGGAATCGACACGTGAAAGACTCGAGAACTCTATGCCTAGAGATGGGGCTTATTGAAAATGGATCCCTTGAGAAAAACAGCTTTTCGGAAAATACAGGTCCCCGGTAAAAATAGGCCCACGGTAGAACCCATGTGGGTTTCGAAATTCAAACTTAAAACGAAACGGTAATCACAAGGCTTTTTAATTAAATTCTTCCGGTAATCAATTAATTACTGCCTTATAGAACTTTATTTCGCTAAGATAAGGTAATGCCTGAAGGCCGATAAGGTACTTTTTTCACGAGAACGGTAATTTGACTTGAGGAAGGTGATTGACCCCTTAGGCCACACTCGCCATATGGCCGAATAATTATATGAAACTACAAAATGCGAAAACCATTATTATAAAAAAAGCTAGTGACATTTGCAATGTTACAGTAGAACATTTTTGAAATAATAATTTAATTAGCACCATAGTTCACCGCAGTTTCTAGTTTCTATTATTGGTATCCCAACAATAGGATCTTCTTCCGCATTTGTATGTACTGTGACGTCATCATCTATTAGTCGCTCGGGATCATGATAGATGTTTTCGGGAGGTTCGTCATTTGCGTGAGTGGACATTTCGTCTGCTTGAAATATTCAAATCTATATTTCTGTCTTGTCTGTCAGCAGGTTTTTTGCTCCAATTCTCCGAAGAAGTTTTCAATATATTTTTTCAGATTGATCTTCTGTTTCTTTCATGTGAAGCTCTATACATGAAAGCGCGTCGGCGTTAGTATTTCATTTGCCTGATTTATAAATAATGTGTTAGTCGAAATCTTCTAGCTTACCTAATGCGCCATCTTGACAGTTTGGAAGTGGGATCTTTTATCGAAAATAACCACTGAAGGGGTTCATGATGGGTTATAATGGTAAATTTGCGTCCAAAAAAATAGGGGCGAAAGTATTTAGTGGCCCTCGTCTGACGGTAGAATAATGTGCTTCACTATATCATTTAAAGTAAGTAACGCATATGAAATTGGCAGATGGGACAATATTGCGCCCAGAGCAACGTTACTTGCATCTGTCGTGAGATTGAAAGGTTTATTGGAGGATTGGCTCATTAGTAAGGATATTTTTACAAGTTTCGGAACAGGTTAGAAATTCTTGATTGGTGAACTATTTTTGCATTTTTTTTTCAGACACTTTGTGAGGAGCTTGGTTAATTTTGCCAAATCCCTTATAAACTTGCGATTGTAGCCAATCTGACCAAAAAAATCTATAATTTGTTTAGTGGTTTTCATATTTTATTAGCACGAATTTTGTCGGGGTACGGCCTTACTCCTTCTGGTGTAACAACGTGACCTAAAAAAAATCTTAAGAATTCTAACTTGTGGACTTGGACTTTGAAGTATGATTCGCGGAAGCGTTCAAAAACCCAACCTGAGTTTTTTGAGATGTTAATGTAATAAGGTACACGATAATATTGTCTAGGTAAACTTGGCAATGTTCGTTTTAAAATGTTGTCTATGACACTTTGAAAGTTCGCAGGAGCATTTTTCAAGCCAAATGGCATCCGCAAATATCCAAAGTGTCCATTTTCCGTACTCAAAGCTGCCTTTTCTATGCCATTATCAGCCATTTTAATTTGATGAAATCTGCTCGGTAGGTCAAGAGTTGAAAAATATTGACATTCACCTAAGAGGTCTGTAATGTTGGGGAGAGAATACCGATCGTCAATTGTATAAGCGTTTAATGACCTATAATCGACTACGACTCTCCATTTTTGTTTACCAGATGCGTCAATTTTTTTTTGTGGACGACCCAAATTAGTGGCGAACTACTAGGTCGAAGTATATTTTGATCAAGCATTTTTTGAATTTGCGATTCTACTTGTGTATCAAAGAATATCGCTATGATTTGGAGTAAATCGAAATTTCATCGCTGGTTACGGAACAATTTTCTCATACACTGACGATACGGTTGTGCTTTCGGATGGACTTACCTGGCAGGAAACTAGAGAAAATGCACAAGGTGGTCATGGGCTAGTGGAAGAATGGCTTGATGGGTATAAGTTATCCTTGAATATAAAAAAACGAGCTATATTGCCCTCACTGAAACGGAAGTAAAGCGCCTATCTTTTTCTTTCATTAAAATCAATAATTCAATAGAAAATGGGACTTACATAGTATGTACATACCTAACTCAACAATTTACAAATTTTATACAATAAGACAAATGCTTGGTACACGTATCTTAATAACTTTGTATCAAAGTTTGGTAGAGTCAATCCTAAGATATGGAATACTGGTCTGAGGTAATATACATAATAACTAATTGAGGCCTCTTCAGGTTATACAAAACAGCATATTGACGATTAATCTCAAAAAAGAATTCCTATATCCAACTCATCTATTATACAATAATAAAATCATAAATTTAAGAACATTGTATGCTGCTATGTACATAAACACGAGGAAATTAAACACACTGTGAATCATGAATATTCAACCAGAATAAATGTTAACAAGCCTAGGACCTAAACTCTACAATTTGTTACCAAACGATATTTAACAGGTGAACATCAAATTTTTGTTAACAAAATCAATAGCAAATTCATATTTTCGGTTCAAGCTCATCTTTCGTGGAAAAAGTTTTATTTTTATAAATTGTTAAAATGTGACCCTTATGAAGTTTACAAACACATGGAGTTCTACGAACGACCTAATCTGTTCGAGGGTAAAAATCACTTGAAAACCAGAAAAGTATCAAATTTTATAGCTTCAAGATTATTATTGCTGTAACCCGAAATTGACAAATATATGAGCCAAATTTATGTTTTCCTAGATAAAAACTAAACTTTAAACTAATCTGTCGACTGAACCAGATCCCATGTGGTTGTAATAATTTATTCAAAGTCAAGAATAATCTTCTGAATACCCACGTTTTATGACGAACTAAGATGTCAAGTAACTGATACCGCTGGAAAAAATTATGTATATTGGAAGCATGTGTGTGTGTGTAGCGAAGCAATAATTACATGAGCTGGATTTTCAAGATACAATAGCAAATTGATGGTAATGGTAACATGTAATATTTTCTGTATTATTTTATTTGAATTTTCATCAATATGATATAACATACACACAAAAGATATAAAATAGGAATGTTTGTTTAAAATTTTTAAAATTCCCATCTTTTTTCCAGAAAAGCAGTCCGAGCAGCCATATTTCTCCTACCTTTGATGGGCATAGCGCACATACTATTTCTCCTGGATTACCGATTCAACGACGCTTGGAAATTCGGACTCTGGTCATACACTACGTATTTTCTCAACACTTTTCAAGGATTTTTCGTTGCCGTTTTATATTGCTTCTTAAATGGCGAGGTATGGAATTTCTCTATGTCTGTAAGAAACATGTAATGTTTTTTTGATGAACGAAATGCAATATAATTGCTTAAAGTACAGAGTTTCATTACAAATATTGTAGTTTCGGTAAATATGAATCAAAGGTACTTTCTTTCTATTTCCCTCGGGTAGTGGCGTAATACTGTTTTAATTTTCTTTAGAGCATTGTTTTTCCCGGAAAATCTCTTAAATAAGCTTTTATTTATTTGCTGACAGGCTATTTTCTCATCAAAAATAAGTAGTTTACTTGAAATGGTACAAAAATGAAGTCCAATTCTCCATAAAGACTCTTAAAACATTTCCTGGCGCAACTTGAAAGCAAAATGCCAAAAAGGATGAGCCACGTAAATTTTCGCAATGGGAAAAAAATAAACATGAAAAGATACACAAATTTCTGGCTTACTTTTTAAGCGAAATTTGCATTTCTCTACTTATCTATAATGAATTGCAATTTGTACCTATTCAAATGATTATGCAATTTTGTTGGAAGAATTTCAAATTAAATTAGTAAATTATTATGTAGGTTCAAGCTGCAGTTAGAAACAGCTACTTTCTGCACGCCTCTCTGAGAAGAAATAATTACACACCTTGCCGAGGTTTCACTACAACGTCGACTATGGGAGCTGATGGAGAAATCACCAATTCAATGTAAGTATTTTATTAAAGGGACAATTTAAGATAAAAATCCAACCCAACAAACAATTCTTTGGCAGTAAAGAAATTCAATAAAAGACGACAAATTACTATTTTTATCTGAATCGCAGAAGTCCAATCTGTTTTCACGGAGAGGTTCAACACTTGAGCCTTCCAGCGAACTATTCTAATAAGGAAAGTTCCGTGATAAGTGCATTTTTGGTTTCGAGAGCGTTGCCGCATTATTAAAGTCCTAGCGGCGAATTTTAGATTGCAAATCCGACTGATTCGAATAAAATTCGACTGGTAAAAAGCTGCGAGAAGGACGTTGAATGGAAAGTGCTAATTTTTAGCATGTTTTAAAATGTTTGTCCTGGGGCTTATGGTATTAATTTTTGTGTCAAAAAGAGCTACTTAGAGTTTTCTTCGTTAAAAGCAAAGTTGTCATTCGACAAAGAAAAATTACATTATCAGACTTTTCACGTAACTCATCTTAAAAACATTCCTCAATTTTTTTCTCTTATTTTTGTGGTGGCATATAAACTTGTAAATTATGCAAGTTATATTTTTCGTTCAATAATTCTTGTTTTTAAAAACTATTTATTTTATTAAAAACTAAGAAGTTACAACAAAAAAATACTAGACTCTAATTGCTGCAGCGAAAAGCCGAGAACAAAAGAATCTTGATTCAAATTGATATAGTCTAAATTACAATACAAATGAATGAATGAGAAGGCTCTGCGCGCTGTTTTTATAATGAAGTATCGCTGACGGTGCAATCATGTGGGCGAAACCCTAATATGATGGTATTTTTCCAGTGCAGTACCGCTTAGTCAACAGTTTTATAATATTGTGAGTTTTAACAGAGGCGTACACTTATATTAAGAGGAGAATTATGTATATAATAATAACATAGGGATTCATAAAATAACTTGCATAATATACTTTCGAGATTATCAGAGTAGCTTTAGCCTTTCCAGAATATAATTAGTTTACACAATGGTAGAATTAACTCTAATCGAATAAGTCCTGTAAAATCCATAAAAACGTCTGGGCAATTTGTAATTTATCAATTATTACTGCCTGTCGAAATTTTATTGAATAAAAAATTCACAACACCAATTACAATGCAAGGCAAATTGGCAATTTGTAGATTTCAGAGACTAGTGAAAAAATCACAAAAAAAAAATTCCGTTCTACAACAAAGCTGATTTTATTCCATTACTGCTTTTTGTATTTCAATAAATGCAAACGAAAACTGGCTTGAAGTAGACTTTATGCATGAGATAAATATAGTCATGGAATTTACATCAATTATTGAGTTTGGAGTTCATTAAATTTTTGTGTGGGACTATTAAATTTAGAGCTCATATTAACTGGATTAATATGAAAATAAGTGATTGAAATCTTAGCTGAGTTTTGTTCGTTTGCTAGAGTCCTCTTAGAGCATTATCTTCGACTCTGTATTAATAAATATTTGATTTTTTTTGTTGACATTTTTATAATCTTTATAGGGTATTCCACTAAATACATCCTAAAGTCTTGAAAAATATCAGCCCCAACACACTTGGGAGTATCTAAAATCTCTGGAGCCTTCTCTTTACGGCTTCAAGACAAAAAGTGTAGCATTCACGCCATCATTTTCTAGAAGGAACAAAACAGTTAATTCGATTATTCAAACTTTTCAGTAAAATTTATTGAAATTAACAGTCATTTGAGTTAGATTTCTCTATCTATACTAAGCACAAAAATATTCAAAGTCAATTCACTCACGATAATAATTGTTATGCAATAAAGTTCCATAGTCAATTCACTTCATAGTCGTTTCAATATTGGTAAAGTCAAAATAAAACTTGTCACTAGACTACTTACATTAAAATTATTGCCCTTAAATCACTTAATTATTCTAATTTCTTTTGATTATTTAAAGCTCGCACATAATATTGAACGAATTTAAATGTTCTTTTTTTGACAATTTTCCATTTATTTCTCAAAGATTCGATTTAACGCGTTTTCCCGAGGCAACAAAATAAAAGAAACTCTTCGCGAATTTTATCCGGAATGACTCATTAGGTCTTAGAGTAGACTCAAGACTCAAGACTGAACTAAAGACTACGCTTAAACTGATCCCAAAATTCCGAAACCGCTGTTTTTATATTTTTTCATTTCCCTCAAAATACCTATTTCGGGACCACTTTGCGAAGCACTGGCCATTGCCCGTTCTTCTTTTCTGGGAAATATAATTCCTTTTGTTTAAAACTGAATAATTATGTATCAATTTCCTGGATTATAGGGTAAGAATATGAGGACGAACAAAGGATACCGGAAACTCCTGTCGGCCGGAAATCACCAATTTAAATACTTTTACCTTGATTTTAATATTTTTATGGATTTGACTTATGTGATGACACACGCTTGGTGACTAACTAATAACATTTGAACGTATATATGTATAAATATTTTAATTAATTCGGGGTCGACGCTAATTTGTTTCAATTTCAATTTATTGGTACTGATGTGAGTTATTGGAAATTCAAATTTTGATTATTTGATTACATTTAATTTTTACTGTTAGGACATTGTAAATTACGGGTCCATTTTTCCCGGGTCATTACATGCCTCCGCCCTTTAAAACCGCAAATATATTGAATAAGATATTTCGGTCAAATCATATTCTATACCCACTTAAAGTAGGTATTTTCATTTCATTCCACCCTCAAGAATATCTTTAAAAAATATGGTCCAGTCGAAGAACCTTCTGTGATTTATGGTTTTCCTTTCTCAATTTTAAAAGTTTGACCATATTATTATCCGAGTATTTATCAGTTCATACAACTTAATTATGTGTAAGCTTTTCCTAGTCTAAATTTCACATTTCTTAAAAATATCTATGACATTTTTATTTTATGAAAAAACAAAAATAATACCTATGAAATTGAACTTTTCCCGTGTAATTTCGCAAGTTCATTCACAATACTAACTATTAAAGAATAATTATAAATCTTTACTTAACACTAGATTTTATCCTTGCATCAAAAATGTTCGTTAATTTTCTTAATTAATACAATTTTCGTGTATTTTCCTCCAAAATTGTTGATGCCAGAACGACACAAAACAAATTTGAATCTCACAAAGTGATAACCCTTACTTGTAGCGGTGGTTGCTCATTAGGTCGAAATGAGTGGGCCTATATTGCGGCCTTTCGCTACGACTCGTTGGATGGTTGCCTGTAGTTTCGCTGTCAATCTCACAGAAGTATCTGCAAATTGCAGATGATACAGATCTCAGCTATTGTCCTCTAGTAACGACAGCTAGCACGGATGGTTCCCTTTCTTCATTTTCGTAATTTTCTTCACGTAACCGAGTTAATGCATCCACATTGCTGTTCAGTTTTCCGTTTCTGTACTGAATCATAAAACTGTATTCTATAAGAATGATAGCCCACTTGGCTAATCTTGAGCTTGCGTCTTTAATTGCTAATAAATACTTGAGAGGCCTATGGTCTATCACAATAATAAAATGAACTCCTGTTAAATAGTTTCTGTGAGTTTTTACGGCAAAAACTATAGCTAAACATTCTCTTTCCATGGTGCTATATCGGCGTTCGGCATCATTCAGTGTTCTACTCGTATAGCATATAGGGTGTTCTTTTCTTTCATATTCTTGTGTTAAAAAAACTGCAACTGCGGTGCGCTAGCATCCGTATTGACCATGAACTGTTTGCTGAAATCTGGGTGCTTTAAAATAGGATGTGTTATAAGTAGTTTCTTTAAGGTCTGGAAAGCACTCTCTTTTTCTGGTCCCCAATGATATTTAATATTTTTCTTGGTTAAATAGGTTAACGGCTGACTAATCTTCGCAAAATCATGAACAAACTTTCTATCAAATACACATAGTCCAAGAAAAGCTCTTATCTCTTTGACATTCTTGGGTGCCGGATAATTTTCTATTATTTTCGTTTTATCGGGCTGGGTTGTATATCCACCTTTGCATATGAGATGTCCTAGATACTCAATTCCCCCCAAAATACCTGTTTCGGGGCCTCTTTGCACAACACTGACCATTGATCATTCTTCTTTTCTAGGAAATATAATTTATTAGTTTAAAACCGAATAATTATGTCGTAATTTCCTGGATTATCGGGGTCAACAGATTTGTTGTAAGAATGTGAGGACGAATAACTCAAAGGATACCCAAAACTCGTGTCGGCCGTGAATCACCAATTTAATTACTTTTACCTTGATTTTATTATTTTTATGGATTTGATTTATGTGATGACACACGTTTGGTGACTAACTGATGAAATTTGAACGTATATGTATAAATATTTTAATTAATTTGGGGTCAACGCTAATTTGTTTCATTTTTAATTTATTGATACTGATTTGAATTATTGGAGAATCAAATTTTGATTATTTGATTACATTTAATTTTTATTGTTAGGACATTGTAAATTACGGGTTTATTTTTCCCGGGTCATTATAACTGTCTCATCAGTCTGGCCTTAATCTTTGTTGTGACTATATCTTAAGCTTCTAGTACCAATTCACACTTCCAAGTCCTTGAGACTCTGCAGAAATAATTGAACCCTAAAATCTTTAAAGTCTCTAAATGTTTTTTTTTTTCTTAAATCAAAGGCTTGGGTCTCAAAATCACGAAATTTGACCCTCTTTTATCTCAAAGATCTTCGGAATATTCAGAGCCTTCAAAGTGTTTAAATCAAGGAAACTTGAAATGTTTGAGTCCCCTAGACTTTTGGACTTCTTTGAAATCTTTAAAGGCGACTTTTTATACAGGGTGTCCCACGAAGTTTCTCCTAGGTGCTAACTTCGGAACGCGTCATCCAATATAATTGAAATTTTGAGGATCTGGGTAACTTTTTGTGCCGCTTCTACCATTGTCATCCAATTTTACCATTTTGGATTCAATTTCGGTCAAGTGACGTCAACTTTCGAATCTTAAATGTAACTCATGGTATATTATGGTATTTTTCGTTAGGAAATTAAATTACAAAA